GCAAGTGACTCAATTGTTCTCTTTCCCTTTGCTTTCCTAACAGCCTGCATTCTTGTTTCTCGCATTTCTGAAATTCGGACATCAATGCACACTTATAAATAATTCATGCTTTTATATAAATGGCACCTAATATATCACAATGCTCTTTATTAAGTAACACTTTGACTTTACCTAATACTACCCAATAACTACACTTTTTCACACATAATCAACAATAATCATTCATTAACACTTCCAATATTCCTAATGCACTTTACCTTATTTCATTACCTCTTTCTAAAGTTTGACTTACACTTTTACACATAACACACAGATATTACGTCTCCATATAATCAGACACAACAATGCACTTTCTGAGTTTTTGAAAGCACTTCATGATATTATATATACAATACCTAAAGTCATGCACATTTACTAACCATTAACTACACTTTTTCACGCATAATCAACAATAAGCATACATTAACACTTCCAATAACCATAATGCACTTTACCAGATTACAATACCACATTTTAAATTTTGAATTACACTTTGACACCTAACACACGGTCATTATTTCTTCATAGTTTCAACAACAACGATTCACTTTCTGAATTTTAAAAGCACGTCATGAAATTACATATACAATAAATAAATGCACTATTATATTACATCTATTCCCTTAATACATTAAACTCATGCACATTAACTTCACAACACTATCGCTTCATACCAATAAGTGCACTTTTTCACACATAGTCATCATCAAGCATTCATTTACACTTCAAATAACCACAAAGCTCTTTAACATACATCAATAGCACATACACATGATTGTACACCAATATAATAATACACAGTATCACTATGCACCATACGGCTTCTATTCTGCAAGAAAAGTCTTTTCATTACTCAATTTTCACAGTTTCTCATTCTTCCCTTCAGTAAGTTCACAAATTAACAATTCAATGCATTCTTACTACTTTATACATTATATAGAATCTGTTCGTCACATATACAGTTACATAATGCACCCTTGGATTATATATATCTCCTCAATACCTTAAATGCATGCACATTGACTTCAAACAACCAAAAAAATAAATAAATACACTTTTAATAGTATGTGTATGACAAAATCTCCAAGAAAGTTCACCAGAATCATCTATTTTAAACATGCATTCAATTTAAAACAACAAAACATTAACCAAACTATGTTGTGACCAAGTTATGTTCCCAAGTTTCGCACATGTAGCACTCTTTCCGCTTCCAGGGCTACGGGGTACACGTGCCCCTGCCGTCCAATCTTTATATATATATAGGGGGTTCCGGTGAGAATAGACTCCCAGGAGAGAAATGAGAATGATTTTCGGCCTTCAATCTATCAAACGTGTGGCTGAGATCGTAGCTTTGGAAGTTAAAAAATGCACGTGAGGCATGCGTGTAATGAATTAAAAAGGCTGGCGTGCATTTTAACCATCCTAAAAGGGCATTTTGGTAAAAGAATGAAGCGAGTAATTATGGCAGTTCAGCGCATTTTTTCGTATATGGCAAGAATCCCGATATTTTTGAAAGAAGGAAACTACCTTGTGCAGAGTTCTATCGAAGACAAAGCTCGACTCAAGCAAGTAAGAAGAAATCCAGTACCGCAGAAACCCTACGAAGGATTGGAAGAACGATGGCAGATACGAACGATACCGACGAAGCATCTAGAAGCGGAAAGAGTGCTACAGGTGCGAAACTTGGGAACGTAACTTGGTCACCACATGTTTTGGTTAATTTTTTGTTTTTTTAAATTGAATGCATGTTTAAAATAGATGATTCTGGTGAACTTTCTTGGAGATGTTGTCATACACATACTACTAAAAGTGTATTTATTTATTTTTTTTTTTGGTTGTTTGAAGTCAATGTGCATGCATTTAAGGTATTGAGGGGATATATAATCCAAGGGTGCATTATGTAACTGTATATGTGACGAACAGATTCTATGTAATGTATAAAGTAGTAAAAATGCATTGAATTGTTAATTTGTGAACTTATTATGAAAAATCGGGGACGGAGGAAAATAATAATGACACGCCTACCTCAAGGTTATAGATAAGATTTACTATTATTACTTGTATTTATTTATTCAACATATATTCTAAATTATTTCTTATAAAATTTAGATCATTGTGCTAATTACTACACAAGAGTATAATCAATTTTTTCTATTACCAATTAAATATTATGAAACGGATCTCATCCTTGATGCATAATGAAACATAATTTTGTATTTTCAATGTATACTACATTTGCTACTAATTTTAAAAAGCATCTACAATGCTCCTCTTTCAACATAGTAAAATTTTGACACGTCAAACCATTTTGAAAGTGTGAATGAAATTTTATCTCTAGTGCTTTCATTTATTGGTCATGTTAAATTCACGTGGACACACAACTTTCAAACAAATAGTTGATTATTAGAAAGGATGTGTAACATGCTAACTCAACAATATATGGTATATGTTTTCCGATTTTCAAGCTAAACGTGTAGTGACAATTAAGATAATAAGATGGATTCCGTGATTTTTTTCCAGCATCAATAATGCTTCATTCTTAGAACCTGGAAATCTATAATCACCCAAGGGTCCAAACTTTAACAAGTAAAACTACTCTGATTTTACCACAATCTATAATCACCCAAGGGTCCAAATCTATAATCACCCATTGATCTTGATTAATGGAGGAAAACGTCTTGATAAATTGTAAATCTTCAATTCCATGGGAAATAGTACGATAGTTTCTATTATAAATCCCTCCAAGAAACACGTGGATTCTGATATTTTCTATTACACACACACATATCATCGCCTGTCAAACTCATCTTGTTTTTGACCTCTTTGTAAATGTGTTATGCCGCAGGGTTTCTTCTTTTCTTGATCAGTAATTTATGGGTTTATCCAATATTTTGCATTTTCTATTCTATTTCATTTTGGAATTAAATAAGTGATGGAAGGATAATGTTTCAAGCGGTTAACATTGTGCATAGGAGGTGTGTTTTTTTCTTTCTTTAAATTTGTATTTTATGTGGATCGAAAGTACACTCTTTACTTGACATTTGGCAAAAATTAACTTCCATTGAAAGAAGAGCATCAGAGATGTTTTAAATGTGTAACTTAGAACGTAACTTAAAACAATAAATAATATTTACGGATTTCAAATTAGATGACAAATTGATCATCCTATACAAACGTTCAAAACTTTCGGCTGACACAGAGCCTTTTTCTTAAATGAAGTTAGATCCTAACGACTACTTAATCAGATAATACTTAGGATTACGATTATTTTCGGATAATAGTTAGGATAATACTTGAATGATCAATTTATCATTGGATAGTACTTATTTTTCGCAAGTCTATATTAACATAATATGTTATCGGCGGTGTTTTAAATAGCGGTTGCGGTAGTGATTGTTGTAACGGTTGCGACAGCAGTTGCGACAGAGGTTGCGTCTGCTGCTACGTGAAATATTTTCAAATAGGACGATGTGTTGTGTTACCCATTGAGGTTCCGTTGTGGAATTCGTCTACGATTCGAAAACCACCGATACAAAATGACCATACTTAGATCTTTTTGAAGAAACAGTAAACAATAGAAAACAAAACCTAAACAAATGGTGAAACTAGTCAAATCTGCTATCACATCGAAGGCTCACACATTCCCAAAAAAACTGCCGTTTGTACCCTTTCCCCCTTAAACCCGAAAGCTCACACATTCCCCCAAAAAATTGCCGTTTATATCCTTTCCCACTTAACCGGTTCATAAGTGTGGCTTCATCTAACTCAAGCTAGGGATGGAGTTGGGCCGGGCCTCGAGTCATGCCTAACCGGGCTTTTTTGGATTTGTTGAGATCTGGAACCGGCCCAGGTAGCTACCGGGTCCGGGTCGGGCCCAAGCCGGGTCGACCCAGTTATCTATTTTTTATTTTTTTATTTTCTAAATACTTCCTACCCCCCCCCCCCCCCCACACACACACACAACCCAAACCCGTCCAAAACACCCAGCCCAACCTATTTACCTCGCAAAGATTTTGAAAAAAAAAAAAACTGCACCCAGAGTCCGCCCAGAAAACTGGTAGTTCAGGTATATTGCACCTGGCCCGGACATAAGCCTGCAGGTCAGGCCGGTTAGTAACAGTAGCGGGGCAGGGCGGTTCCAGTCCGATTTACCCGGCCGGAGTCTATCCCTAACTCAAAAATTTTATTTGTACACGAAATGTGTACACATTTGGTACACATATGGTTGGACTCGGGCCGGGTCGGGCCCGGGCCGGGCCTAAGCCCGGTCGGGCCGGCGGTTCTATATAGCTGGACCCGGGACCGGTCCGGGTAGCCACCGGGTCCGGTCCGGGTCCGGGCCGAGCCGGGCCTCGGGTTTGGTTAATTTTTTTTTTTTTGCTTAGCTACCCATCCCTGAACCCCCCCCCCCCCCCAAACCCCTCCTAAACATCAAGCCCAACCCAGTGGAGCCCAAACAAATGAAAAAACCAAAAAAAAAAAAAAAAAAAAAAATTGGCCCGTACCGGGCCCGGCCGGGCCTTGTTATGGGTGACCCGAGCCCAGACCGAAAAACCCACCGGGTCGGGCCTACCCGGACCGGTCACTGATCAGGCCACCGGTTCATGCCGGAACAGTACGGGTCCCAGGCCGATTCCGGGTCGGGCCACCAGGCCCGAGTCCAACCCTAGGTACACATTTGTAAATAATTGTATATACATTGACGATCGTATTCTTCTTAGTTGCTTATGTACACAAGCATCTCATGTGCACAGACAATTACGTACAATTGTGTGTCAAGTATGAAGAAATTTTGTACAACTAACAACATTCTTCTGACATACTTTCCCTAAAATTCATTTAACAAATTTTATTTCAGTCTTGATAACTTGCTTAGTTGAAGTGTGGTTTTCAATAAATTTCTTCATTTACTTGCAACACAATAGCAAAACTCAGAAAAACGGACAAAAGAAATCCAATCCTGCATTAAACAATATGGATTCAAGAAAATCATGCACAACTCGGCAACACAGGGTTCCCCAGTTGGGATAATTAGGATAAAATGGAAAACAAAATCTGTTCCAGAACCCAAACTCCATAATCTAAGAGTTATTCAAGTAGTGAGCTCCATAATGGCGCTAACAATGTCACCATCATGGGCCTTCAGAGCCTTAACAGCCTTGAACTTGGAAACACCAGCTTGTGTCATAACCAAATCAATGTCCCGAGGTTCAACTCCGCTGTCATCAATGTCTTCTTCTTCTTCCTCAGCTGCCTGCACAGCCGCAGTAGAATCTCCGGGCTTAGCCCCAGCCGAACCACCCAATTCTGCTGGAGCCCTAAACTGTTGGGCAGCCTGTGTCTGGAGTTGAGAGCTCAAGTCTTCAATCTTTGCCTCCCCAAATATCACATAGGTCTCGCTATTTGGACTTTTAAACACATCTGGCTTTGAGATGAAGAATAATACCTGTTGCAATTGTCATATAAGATTAAGAAAGTGTTCTGCAAGAGTTATGTAGTTGAATCTTCTGGAATTTTGTGAAAGGGAAAGCTTTGAGTAAAACATATTTCAGCCAAAGAAGTCAAGTTAATATCTGCTTAATCCACTATTCTGCCGATAAACAGATTAAGGCACTAAATACCTATCACTTGGGAGATTCTAAGACACAACAAACACCATTGATTTTCCAAATGCAGAATAACTATTTTAAAATAGAGGGGGGGAGGACATTAAACCGATACATACGTTCTTAGTTCTCTTAATAGTAACACGGCTAACACCTGGAATGGGTTTCATTCCAAGTTTCAGCATTGCCTTACGACTCTTCTTCTCACTCCTGCTCTGCTTTGAACTTTCATTCCCACCTGCAAATACAAATTGGATATCATATACGGAGTACTAAATTGAGAACAAATTGTAAGAAAATATCCACAAATAATGATTAAAAAACTTTATAATGGCATGGATTTTGACAGAAAAATAAGTGCAGTCTTTACTGCTCTTCTCCAAATCACATTAACACATATTACGTACAATACACCAAATCAGAACCAAATAATCAAATGCTACGTATGAAGTCTCCGAGAAAAATAGCCATATATCACAACAATCATTCCCATAACGAAAACTAAACTGCAAAGCACAATATAATCAAATTTCAGAGATAAGAATATTTTCTGGATGCACATTGTACTACGTAATAAACAGACCTTGAGCCCCATCTTCCTTATCATCGTCTTCATCGTCGGAATCATCGAGGTCGTCGTGCTCGTCTTCCTCATTTACGTCTTCCACAACTGGCGCATCTTCCGGCTTCACCAAATATCACACGATTATTCGGATATTAAACTAAACGACTTACTGGCTACTCGAAATTCCGAAATGAAAAGTTAAAAGATATACTAAAAAGAAAAAGGAAAAAGTCAAGAGAGAGAATTACATGCAGCTTCTTCTTAACCTCGAGTTCTTCAATGATAGGGGCAGGTGCCATCGGCAATTTTTTTCAGGTGGTATTGTGGTTTCGGCGACTGGAGAGCAGGAGTAAACTAGGGTTTTTGGGGTGAGTTTTGTAAGTGTTTCGAACTTTCAATGATGGGCTGGACTTAAAAATTTGGCATCAATCTGCCTGCTTAGCTAAACTCCGTTTCAGAATAACGATGATGCATTCATAAATAGGGCCCAAAAATCACTCTCATCACAATCGGACCATGTGGCGACCCAAACTGAAACATTAAAAAAAAGGTTATTTAAAGTTATTTACCTCCACAGATCACTAGCCAATTCTTTCAAAGTAAGTCTCACGAATTTTGGATTTTAAGATTGAAGTGTAGGAGGATATAAGATTAGAATAACTAGTCGGTAAGTCTGAATCTGATGTGAGGGATTACAGAAATAGTAATGATGAATAAAAACTTAACCGCGAGAATCAACGAGGATTATTTGAAGGATTTCCATATTACTCCGTATATGATAAAATTGAAGGATTACTTAGGGAGGAGATGAATGATTATTTACATACCTGAAATCGACTCCGTATAGTAAACTCTATGTAGTAGGTCGTAAAAAATGTATTACACGTGCTTTAGTTCAAGCATACTCCGTAAAAAATGTTAAGTGTCACTACTTGAGGCTGATGTATTTGTATTAGAAAATAGTTACACTTTTGTGTTATTAGTGGCATTCTATCAGAAAGTGTCACTGTAAGCCAATTTTCTACTAGTGTAAGGATTTACTTGAATATCTAATATTTTTCCTATTTTGTGTGTATGTGCATTAACTTTGTCAGCATAGACAAGTTAATAATAGTTACCATCTCATATCTATACATATGTGTGTGGTTGTACTTCTCTATTATAGCGTAGATATTGGTTATGTAGAACACATACCCGCCAACTTGATGATAATCGGTCACTAGGCCAAGTGAAAATGTTGGACCATTTCCAACAAATATGGGCTAAGGACCAATTTTTTGTATTCTATTTATAAATATTATATATATATATATATATATATATATATAGAGAGAGAGAGAGAGAGAGAGAGGATCAGGTGAGAAGTGCCCTTAGGCTGAGAACTGCGAAATTTAACTTGGCTAAAAATATAAACTTTTCACCAATAACTCATAACTTATAGACCCCCTCGAAAATAATTACAAAATACCATCGCGTCAAAATAACTCCAGAAATCTGGAAAAAAATTTGACGCGGTGGCATTTCCGTAATTAAGATGGAGAGCTTTATAATTAAGTTATGATTTATTGGTTATAAGTTCATATTTTCAGTCTATAAGTTTGCTGCGTTGTAAGATTAGATGCAAATCTAAGGGCTGAGATTACTTCTCACTTCTCATCTTAAGGAGGACTTCTCACCTGATAAAAATATGTATATAAACATATGTATTACTCCCTCCGTCCCTGTTTTATCTCCCATTTCGGCTGGGCACACTTATTAAGATAGTGGGTTTTGTGTGGTGGAGAGTTGTGCAGAGGAGAGAGAAATGTGTAAGAATGTGTAAGAATGATTGTGAACCACATATTCTTTGCCAAAAAGGGAAGGAGGAGATAATTTTGGGATGGACGAAAAAGGAAAGTTTGAAGATAATTCAGGGACGGAGGGAGTATTTGATAAAAATAATACTTAAGAACTTACATTGTGAAGATAACTCCTTTTAGGATGCTTTTCCTTTGATTGTATTCAGTCTCATACCAGATCAGACTAGACGAGACCAGACTTGGATAGTTATAGAATACACAGAGACCAGACGTTTACCAGACCAGATTAGACCAAATTAGACCAGACCAGACTAGATCAGCTAATTTCAGTCTAAGTAAAAACATCCTTATTTGATCAGACTAGATCAGACTAGATCACAAAACTTGAACTGATGTGACTATTCAATACTACCTCCATCCCACTATGATTGTCCCATTTACCTTATCGGTTCGTCCCAATAAGATTGTTTCATATCAAATTTGGTAAAGTTTGTGTGGCTCTAAATCATTCTTATTTTATTCTTAGTTTATCAATTGATCAATATCAACTACATAAACCACTTTTTATTAATTTGCGTGTCACTCCCTTTTGTCCCATTGTTAGTGGGACGGAGGGAGTATTTCCCAATATTAAAACTCTCTCTTTTTCCTAATTAAAGCACCCTTATGAAGGACATCATAAGGAGAAAAAAATCAAATTCATTAAAATCACACTCCATCCCAATAATGTTAGTTAAATTGACTTTTTTAGTGAACCATACTCAATTTTTCAATGATATTTTTTATACGAATTAATTTGAATAAGAAAATTATCTTAAAACACACCTTATTAAACATATTTTCATAAAAGTGTAAAATTTATGGCAAATCTTTTAGGGACAAAAGAAGGCACCAAGGAGAAAATTAAAACATTTGTTCAAAGTTTACTACGGTTGACCATGAAAAAATCAATATGACAAACCTTTTAGTGACAAAAGCAGCATACCTCATCTACTCCCTTATCCCACAAAATTTTGTCAATTTTCCCTTGATAGTTATTTCAAAATACTTTATCATTTCCGTTTATAAAAATGAATATGTGGTTAAAGTTAATTCTTTAATTATTATCACGATCTGAGAAAACATGACAATTTCGCAGATGAAGAACCTCAGCAGAAAGAATTTCGGTCACAGCGTCGAGGAGAGATGAACAACGCCAGAAGAAGAAGCTTTGGCGAGGTTCTTCAGGAGGTGGAAAAATCTTGAATCATAGAAGAACGACGCTTGGTTGGGCCTCAGAAGGGTTTTAATCTTTTTGAGGTAAATCTTCTCCATTAAAATTTAAAGCAGGCTTAACCTAACTATTGGACGTCTGTTTTGTGGTTAACCGTCCTAATAATGCGGCCTTTATTAAGACCGTTTATTATAATCCGTCTTTACAGGTGACAAAAATTGCAGAGCGTGGTTAATACTCTTTTTTATTTTTAACTTACAACGACGCTTTTGAAATTTACTGATGTGGAATATTTTTTTTCGAAAATTAATTCTACAACGACGGTTTAAAAAGAACAGACGTTAAATGGTATGACGTGGTATGTCATTCATGTAGTAGTGTGTCAATCACACAATTTATACTTTATTATTTTACGTGTAAGTCAAATTTGACTAAATTATATGGAATAGAGCTAGGGAGTATCTTTTATCCGATAGACGATGACACATCCATTTCTTAGATCAATGATATGATCTTCTTGAGTAAAATGCATAGACAATACCATAAGTTCATAACTATTGATATTGATACACTTTGGTACCTTAAATCTCTAATAAAGCAAACATTATTGTAGTTGTGATAAACTATTGTACTGTGAGTTGAAACATTTAAGCGTAGTTGTGGTATGGATTTGTTTCATTAAAGAGTTAAGGTATGTACCAAAATGCATCAATACCAATAGTTATGGTACTCAGTGGCGGAACTAGGATGTGCGAGACTGCGAGCCGGTGCCGGTGCCTCCGTTCAAAGGTGGCGGTGGTGTATATATGTATATGTATATATCTGAACCCCGGTTGTTACGTACCCTGTGGCAAAATATGTACAACGGTGCTGATGGTTGGATTAGTTGTTTCGCTGCTATGTAATTTCAACATATATATCTGATGTCGCGTGTTCCATTACCCCGCATTTAGCTTTCTCGTACGATGACATTAACACTTTTCTTTTAGTTTTGATTCCTAAATTACATTTTTAGACATATGACTATCTTAATTTTCTTAAATTGAATCACCCTAAGAAGAGATGACATTGGTTAAATCACACCAGATTTCCATATCTTTTATTTACATTCTTATTTTTTCAATAAAAATTATTCGTCACATTTTCTTTCTTCTCGGATTGATATGCAGGTTTCCCTTTTTAATTAGTTCAATGGCCCCAAAATTAAATTTATAACAATATTTTTTATAATTATAAAATAAAAAAAACAAATCAATGAAATTTTAATCTTTTCTTTCTTCTTCAAATAATGACATACATCATTTGATGAGTAAATTATCAAGACTAATTCTCTGCATACTTCAACTTTACATACCTATAATTTACCCTTTCCTTAGCATAAAAGCTATTTTTATTTGAAACACACTATATATACATATATACAAGTTTTGGATCAAATAAAAAGAGTTATTCTCTTGCAAAATGATAATAAATCTTTTTGATTAAACTTGGAATCTAATGGTTCAAAATCAGACAATAATGCACTACATTTTATCGAAAACGTGGTGACAATTTACTAAATAAATTAAATTTTCTGTCATTGCATGCAGGAAAGTGCAAAACAAATACTCTCTCCATCCTGTTGGAATGTTCCCGCTTTCCTTTTTTGGATGTCTTGTTGGAAAGTTTCCATTTCCCTAAACGGAAAGTTATCTTACATCAAAACAGGGTCAAACAGTGCAAAACATGTTCAAACAGTGTCGAAACAGTGCCAAACAGTGTCGAAACAGTGTCAAAACAGTAAAATTTACCACCTGGTAAGTTTATTTCCTTAATATGTGTGTAGGTCAAACCGGGAACGTTCCAACGGGACGGAGGGAATATCTATCAGTGCACCAGCTGAATGAGTAAAAAGTGCACTCATTCACACTATTCACAGGAACAACTCTTTTTATTGGAACTACGCTCTATATATCAAATGATTACTTTTCACTTGTTTTTCCTTTATTCTAATAAAAATTGATTTTCTAAAAAATTATATTTAGTATATATACAAGAGCACCTCCTAAAATTATTCTCTGTTCTGCCATCGATGGTATTGTCTATATATGCATTTTACTCTCATCTTCTTACCATCTCTCCCAAATTAAAAGAGTATTGAATGCTTTACGTGTAACTCCTCATGATTGTGACTTGTGAGTCATTTTATTAGATCTTGGTTATATAGTATCACATTAATTGGGAAAAATACCCATATATAACCAAAACTAGGTAGAATTCCTAATCTATGACTTGAGTTGTTATTAGTCATTCGTACGACCAAAAAGATGAAACAAAAAAACCACCAAATTATTGAAGTACGAAAATACCCCCCAAAGAAGAAACACTCGTGCATCGAAAAAAAAACCGAAACGCAAAGCCTCAACTGTAAGTCATCGTGCAGAGTAAAATTCGGCGGAGCACCATTTTCAAAGTCATCGTGCAGAGCAGTTAAATGCTAAAACTACACTGCATTAATGGAAGAGATGAAGCCAATTTAGTAAAAACGAGTGACAGAACTCAAAAACCATAGAGCAACGAACGAAGGTGAAAAATGGTGAGGAAAAAGTGAAACTCACGATGAAACAACGATGAATTGGACTATGAGATCGTCAAAATCAATGGCGTGGTGAGTTTTATCAATTTTTTTGTTCACGAAGTTATTTCAATGCGGTGTTTTAACGAACATTTCTGCTAGTGAAATCATCATATTTGCGAATCGAATGCATGAATTGATGTCGTTTGGCAATGCGTGGATATTGTTGTTGTTTAATGCGCGTATTGTTAGGTCTAGGATGGGTTGAAGTCAGAGTGGTTGAGTAATTTGAAAATATGGATTGAAATATGGTTTCACTGCACTTAGTCTATGTTTTGGTTGTTACACTTTTCAAATTAAGCAAAGCAATTGTGTGCATTGAAATGTATTATTACACGCATGGTTTGATTTAGTATGATAGATCAGCCTAAGTGTGTGTATTTGTTGAATGTAATATGTTGTGTGCAGTGAAGTAGATATAATCATTGAATTTTGCTGTGGTTTGGATCATTGTATTTTGTTGTATGTCTAATAATGTATATTTTAGTTATTTGGAATATGGCTTTAACTGCATGTAATCAAAGTTTTGGTTGTTCAAATTGCAATTTTGCTAAACAAATATGTGCACTGAGGAAATTGAAAACTAAGCTAAGTAAATTTGTGCATTGAACTGTAAAATTGCAAATATTAGTTGTTTTAGTGTGATAGATCGTTGCACGTAGTGTTCGCATGTGGTGTATGCTATGTTTGTTATTTTGTTAGAGTAACCAATTTTAAGTTGTTTTTAGGTAAAGTAGTCTGTGTGGTGTAACTTGGAAATGGCAGTAAGCATGAAAACATGAAATTCACTTATTTTGCACCTTTAATGATATTAATTATGCAAAAAACATACTATAGTGACATTATTGGAGGTCTTAACCTGTATTTATGTATTGTACTAGGCATATAAGCGATACTGTAATGCAGAAGTTCTGGAGGGAAGAGACGACATGAGAGTTAGTAGTTTCTGCAATCCAGTGAAGGCTGTTGAAAGTAGGGCTGGTTCGGTATGGCATACCGAAATTTTTACGCCATACCGCATACCGTACCGAAAAAACGGTATCTGTAAATCTCATACCGTTACCGTACCGAAACTTTCGGTATACCGAATATCGGTATACCGAAATTTCGGTACGGTACGTAACCCATACCGTTTTATACCGAAAATTCACAACAATAAACTTGTAAGATGATTCTGTGTAAAGCATCAGCATAACGGGCCTGCCGAACTACCATAAAATCTGATTTTAATATGTCGAAAGTAGTATACGAGTAATACGACATTAATTACATAAACTCATACCAAAACTAAAAAACAATATTTAATTCAAAGTAGGAAATACTAAAATTATGCATTAATATCTCAAGTCTCAACACATTCCATAATGAAAATTAGATAAGTTATCCAAAATAAATCAATGATTATTAATGTTTGTTGCAGCTCCAAAAGATACGTAGGCTAAAACTTCACTCCTCCATTCCTCCTCCTCCATTCCTGCAAATGAAAATAAATTAGTTTTTTTCTTTATTTTGAAAAAGAACTTGATTGGAGTGTCTGAAAAAACAACTTCAGAGCATTATTGAGCAAACACTTTTTGTGCACATAACTATTCTTTAAGAGATAAAAGAATCTTTTAGAAGTGATTATTTTCAGCCCAAAAGTATTACTACTGTTGTCCAAAATCCAAACAAACTCATGTTTCACACAAAGGTATAGCTTTTAAATATTAATAAGGACCATAAGTATTAATAAGGACCATAAGGTACATTAATTAGTAACCATCCATCCTATCTGTATTTTTGCTAGTTTACTAAATTTAACAATGTTGTATTATAATAATCCAATTTAATGCTTTCTGTTTGTTCTTAATTAAGAAAATACAGGATATGAGCTTTTGAAAGAAAGAAAAAAACAGTTTTAGTACTTAAATGAGAAAGCACTTTTTACAAAAGCACTTGTTGAATAAGGAGAGAAATATGTGAAACTTCTCTTAGAGAGACTTTAATGACTTAAATGACCATATATAGGGCAGCTAGGGAAATGTAAAGACAGCTGAGTACCTTTTTAATTTGATCAATAACATTATGTCCACCACTCAGCATAAAACTAACCATAGAATCTTCCCACCAAGGTAAGAGACAATGGAGGCGCCCCACTTGATGATTAATATTAGGAACACTTTCATCAAACTGAAGAACAAGGTATCTCATAAAAGAGTCATCCATTCAAACTGGTATCAAATTCTTACATAGGCCCAATCCAAGCAAGCAGATAGAGGCAAACCGTGAAAACACTTTAAGTTAGCATAGCCTATTTAAATACAAATAGGTATTTGATAAAAGAGTCATCCATACAATAAGGCAGGTCATTTAAAAACTCCTGCCTTAGAAGCTAGCTACTAATTAAAAAACCCTGCCTTAAAAAATCATTAGTATACCATTGCTGGAAAAAAAATAAAGTAGCATACAAGGTAGGATCCCTGAGGGCATGGTTCCAATAAATACTCCTCGTTTTAGGTGCTACATGAGGCTTTTCTGTTAAACACTCACTTGTTCGCTTCCGACTAGAAGTACCATTCTCTGTTTCAGATTCAAGCGTGGCCGGTGATTCAGCTAGGCTGGGCAACGAGTGAGATGATTCAGATTCCATTAGCAATGCTGAAAATGTAACAAATATCATGTTAATCAATTCTGGCCCTATGTTCAGATTGTGTAATTAATTGTGTCGTATGAGTATTGGGGTGTTTGGTTGGAGGGTTTTGGAAGGGAGAATTGATGTTTGTTTTACAAGTACGAAGTATATTTTTATCTGTCTCAGACTAGAAAATAACAATACATTTAGTTAACTAAGATATTTGTTTAGTTCTGATCTTCCCTTCATTTCAACCAACTAGATAACAAATATCACTACTGTTGTTAGCTCCCCTCCAAAATCTCCCAACTAGACATAGGCTTAATATGCACCATTACCAGCAATATCTTATATGATTATATCTAAGCCCATTTTTTTAGCCAGGCATTGGTTACAATGGATTTCCACGTGGTTGCTCAGATGATAAACTTCCTTGGGCTAAGGTTCATTTTATTACTTACATAAGGAACTTGTGATTTATCAACATCCATACCATTTCTGAGATGAAAGAAACACGTAGCATTTACTCATTTAGGATGACAGTGGTACGACTTTTATTCAAACACCCAATTTAAATAGAATATTCTACCATCCAGGCACTACTTTTCTTCCCCAGTTTATAATCCATCAACATACTAATTAATTACTAAGATACAATGGATTTGAGTTAAGATACGGACATCTAGTCTAAGAGAAAGATTGAAAGAAAAGTGACAAAACCTGTTCGAGCTACAGCTGCGAACGAGTGAAGAAGAACGACAGAAGAGGCGAAGAGCTGCGGACGAGCTGCGGAAAACCTGCGGACGACCTGCGGAGGACGGACGACCTGCGGACGAGCTGCGGACGAAGGTGCTGAATTAGCCGGCCAATTAGGGATTTGGTCTTTACTCTCTAATCCCTGCACGGCTGCACCCAAGCTGCGGAGAAGAGGCGAAGAGCTATTGAGATTTTGGGCCTTTAATTTCATTTAATGGGTTTGGGCTGTTTGGCCCTAATAATTTACAAATTCTATTTCAGTATTTCGGTATATACCGTATCGTACCGATAATTAACGGTATTTCGGTATATACCGAAATACCGAAAATTTAAAACCTACATACCGTTACCGTACCGAAGTGACCCGGTATGGTATCATACCGTACCGAAATTTTCGGTATACCGAAAATTTCGGTAAAATCGGTATTTTTCGGTAAGGTATGGTCGGTATACCGAAATTTCGGTATATTTTCCCACCCCTAGTTGAAAGTATTGAGAGTGTATTGACTGAAGAAGAAGTAAAAGTGTTTAGGGAAACCGTGTTTGATTACATGTTAGATATAGGAAATCTGAAATGGTTAAATGCACAGTCGATATGCATGTTAATAGGTAATCATGTTGCACCTGTGGAAGAGATGACTGTGAAGAATGAAATTCAGATCCAAATTGGAGAAAGACTAGTTGCAATGAAGAAAAAAGATCTTACCTTGATAACTGGATTTGAGTTTGGCAGGAACATACCAGCTATAAGTAATCGTTGTGATGGGGAACTGTGGAGAAGGTACTTTAGTGGAAAAATGAGTCTTGACCGGGGAGACCTACGGCAAGCATTTGAATCCATTAATTATAGAAGAGAAGAAATGCAACCATTAGATGCAGTGAAGTTAGGATTGTTGCACGTTCTTGGTAACTACATACTAGGTAACCAGTCGTCACTCAAAGTGCCTACAACATACATCATTGGGTTCTACTTCTGCTTGGTGTGGTAGAAAAGCGTATTAGGATTTATGACTCCAATAACCGCCTTGGAACACCAAGTAGACAATTGAGTGAGTTCTTGCCCTGTTTGGAAATTCATTTAGGAAAACTAATGGATTGGTGCAGGGTGTACGAAGAGCGTGGTGAACAGCCAATTGGAGATGGAAAACTGGGATGGGTTATGGTATCCAGTCCGCAACAAAATGACGGGTAAGTGGATTGAATTTCTTAAAAATAAAATGTGTATTGGTACATAATTAACATTGTAATTTTTTTCAAATGCGCAGGGATAGTTGTGGACTATTTGTACTTAAAATGGCAGAGTACCTAATGATGGGGAGAGATGTTAATGAAGTGAATTCCAGGGACATGTGGACTTACCGGAAGAAGTTTGTCACTGAGATCCTGCATTACAATGGACTGGTGAATGTCAATGGAGTTGAATGAATGTCTTTGAGAAATGTGTAATGAACTGAAATTTGTTTTTACTGGGGATGCTTTATTTTGATTAAACTCAAGTATTGTGGTATTACGATTCAATATGGTTGTTGTTTGGATTGAACATAACATTGCTTGTGAAGTATTCACTGTTTTACATTGAAAAGTGTGCTTAATAAGCACCGAAGTAATATGACTATTTTCTACGTTAGGCATATAATGCAGTAGTGTACTGCGTAAGATTAATGCACATAGTTAGGACATGTGCTTATTGTTAATCTGAAGTAAACAAAAACATACATTCATTTCATGAAAACAGCATTGTAGCAATGAAAATTAGTTTTAGTATGTTAGATATATGTATATTTCAAAATGACTTGAAGGAGGTTTTAATCTATTACTGAATACGTAAACATGTAACATTGGGTTTATATGAATGGTAATCATTACAGATGCAAACTGCAATACGTACAAATAATTGAAAATATTCTTGTAATAAGAAACATATAATCAAAAGAACATACGTGTAATTACAAACCAACTGATTTGGAATATCAAGTGAACAAAACACTTGTAATGTTAGAATGAGTACACCAAAACATGTAAAGAGACATTACATTTATAAGAATGGCCATCAATACAGATGAATATTGATAAGTCCGTATTTAGACACGCATTTGATGCGTGTTCAGGTTGGATTTTGATGGTTTTCCTAGCTTTAAGGTGTTGCAAGTCTCAATTTTAGCTCAAGTTGCGATTATAAGGCGTTAGGACGAGTTCTTTGCATTTGGAATTGAATTGAAGAAGTTAGAGACTGACAATCAGCACTTGAGAGGCATTCGGGAAGGATTTGAAGGCATTCGAAGAAGATTTGAGAGATTTGGAGGTCATCGGGAGATTTACGACGAAATTCTGATGACAAACGAGTAATTGATTGACCTCGTATACATCCGGGAGCGTTTGGAACAAGGAAACAAAAATAAAGTGAAGAATAAGGTCACGCACGGTCGTGCCTGGCAGTCAGGCACGCCGTGCCTGAAGTGAAACGAGGAACAAAGCTACTGGAGGCCAGGCACGGTCGTGCCTGGCAGTCAGGCACGCCGTGCCTGGACGCGTTTAGCGGATTTTTTCCGCAGGCACGGTCGTGCCTGGCGCCGTGCCTGACCCCGTTTTATCCTAATTCAGCTCAAATTGCTTTGTTTCCTATAAATACCACCCCCATAACCCTAATTAAGGGGGGATGGAACTTATTTAGCAGATTAAGGACGAATTTGAGAGCTTTTCAGCTCTGGTTTTTTCTATTCTTTGAGATTCTTTGTCTACTTTCTAATTAATGGCAATTATTTCTATTCTTCTCAATTCTATTGATTCTTCAATTATGAGTCGGGAGTAGTTTTAATTAGGGATTTGGTATTGATGAAGGGGTTAATCACGATATATGGTTAGGTTCTTGATGGTGTAAATTGCATGAATGCCGTTTAATTTGTGTTTGAGTAATTTAATTGATATCTTTTGTAACCTAGATGGCCACTAGAATTACAATCGCATGTAGAATGAATTAAGAGAGATCTAATTTGTTCTAGGACACATTCACACACACTTAATCGTTTGCTAAGAGATTAATAGCGATTAAGGGGCCGAAAGCTCATTCGTCTTGGCAATAATTTAGGATCCTGTCGCATGAGAGATCAGCCTGGTCCCCTAAATTATTGTACTCTACGCCGTGAGAGCGGTAAGAACTTAGTATTGATTAGCTAGGCTCAATTAAATTAAATTCATGTAATTAAGCCTGATCTGCCAGAAATCTGATTACCCCGGAATCAATCCCTGTTCCCTTCGTCGTTAATTAAGAAGAACCCAAATATTTACTTTTAGTCGTTTATTTGCAATTTTAGTTTTCTCAATCAACCAAATCTCGCACGACTGCTTTTATTTTATTTCTTTTCTTTATCGTTGATTTTAGTTAGTCTTTAATTCCCTTTTTACCATCCCTGTGGAGACGATACTCGTACTTTCACCGCTATTCTACAATCTTTCTAAGTGCGAGAAAATTAACATCAGTTTTTGGCGCCATTGCCGGGGACGGTGTTGGTCTTAAGGGTTAATTTTACTCAGCGATTCGTTTTTAGTTTTTCGTAGGATTTTTGTCTGCTAACCTTGCAGGTCAGCTCTGTTTATGCATACACGTTCTAAGAGGGGAGAACTGCTAATCCCTCTTAACCTTGAGATTGAAAAGCTCGCCAGACAAAACCGCAAGGCTCAAAAGGAAAAGAATAACATGGACCACCAGTCTTCATCTGGAACCGCAGGGATGTCGGGTAACCCTAACCCCACATCTCAGCAAGATTTCTATGTGAACACGTCACCCCAATCTTCACCACCAATTTCACCTAGAAACCCTCCTGGTTTTCAAAATTACCGTACTCCGATCTTTTTCCAAAATCAGCGTTCACCACAATTTAGCCTCCCTCCATTATATCATCTGTTTCAAAATACCCCTACTGCTCCTGAAACCAATTTTCAAAACCAAGTTTATGGGATGCAAGGAGCAGGGCAGGGTATTCCCGTCTTTCAACCGAGACAGAACTCACTTCCAATCAATCAACCTACATTCCAAAATTAGCCCCAGTACCAAAACCAATACCCCAATCAGTTTCAAAACCACACTCAAGTCCCACCTACTCAGCCACAACCAACCCCTCAACCTAGACATCAGGAGTCTCCACCCAATCCATATATACCGCACAACAATCCACTCTATCAACGCCAGACCATTGCAGAGTTCCTTACACCAAACGTTTCAGAGTACGATAGTATTCAAGTGCCGGGAATTACTGCCAACCGTTATGAGATCAAGCCGGCAGTGATAAGCATGGTATCTGTTGGTCCCGGTTGAACTGGATACAGTCTAGACGGTGGGTGAATAGACTGTATTGGTTTTTAACTTTTTCAAGCTAAGTACCAGATTTAACAGAATAGCCTGTTCTGTTGACAGAACAGACTGGCAGCGGATGGGGTTCTGGAAGGGAGTTCTGTTAGTAGCCTCAGAGAAGCAAAGGCAGTAGGCCTTATGTTAACTCACAAGACAAGTTCTGCTGAACACAGATACCAAGTCTTTGGAGTTAAACAGTTCAAATAAAAACAATGAAAGTAAAGCAGTAAGTAAATGACACCAGGGCTTTTTATAGTGGTTCAAGGAACAACTTGTTCCTCTAGTCCATTGTTCCACTAAGCTCGTAAAAACTTCCGTTTACAATGCCTTAGCCCTATCACTTAAGAAGCTCTCCACGTCTTCTTCAAGTGTAGATGTCTTCTTGGATGCACTTCCGGCTTCCCTAAGACTGGTCCTTTCACTGAGCTTTCCAGAAGTATCACCACTTCACTGCTCCAGGTACTTGGACGTCCTTCTTGTGAAATAAGAGGTTCTATTCAGAACAGAGGTTCCTCCAACTTGCTTCGTTACAAAGAATTTGTATGTGATGAGCTTGAAGAGTTGAAGAACACTTGAAACTTTGCTTGAGTTGGAAATAAGGATTTTTCCAACTTCTGCCTTCTCTTGTAGAAGATGATGAAGTTTTAATCTCAAGGAGGCTTTTTGCGTTTTTGGCGTTTGAATATCTTGTATGCAGAGTTGTAGCAAAAGTTAGCAAAATTATCCCGTTGTTCTTCATAGTGTATCTTTTATACTGAGGTTGTCTTCCCGTTGGAGGAGAAGGAGGACAACTGCATTAAATGAGCGAGCAGTTGACTTGACCAGTAGGACCCGGTAAAGTTGGCGGGTTACTATTTTGGGATAAAGTTATCCTAACATTGCGGCCAATCATCTGCAATTACTCTACGGAGTATGGGAGGCATTAAATGTGCATTCAATGCGCGCACTGTAGCTTTTCCGTTCAAGACTCCTAGCCGTTGAAGGAATCTTTCAGTTGATTTCCCGGCTTGGTGGAATTCTTTTAAGTGTCAGGCCTTCTGGTGTCTTTAACAAAGAGTTGATCAGAGAGGGTCTGGAGCACTTCTGTTGAGAAGATATCCAACAGAGAACCAGGAGGGTTTCTGTCAGAGTAAAGGCTAACAGAGACCCTGAGGTCTTCTGTTCTTAAGCAGAAAACCAAAGGTCCTCAGTTCAACCAATGCCTTATCAAGGGTCTTCTGCTCTGGAGGCCTTCTGCTTTGTAGGTCTTCTGCTCAGGAGGCTTTCTGCTAAGTCGATTAAACTAAAGAATTTTTCAAAGGAAAATTCTAAAACATTAAGTCTAAAGAGGGATACTCTAAAGTCCTAATCAATCTAGCATCATCAAAATCTAATTACAAATATTCCTTACAATTTCCCCCTTTTTGATGATGCCAAAACCCTTTAACTATTTCCAGAGAAGTGCCTTCACCACAAAGAATTAAAGTTTAAAACTTTCATTAAAATCTTGGTGGGCAACTAGGCATAGGAAAATAGTAAGAGTACAGTACATTCAGATAGCAGATAATAATTCAAAAAACAAACAAACATAGACAGAAAGCAAAGAGACAGGAATTGAGGAAAAGCCTTACAAAGTGAAAAGGCAGAGATGTGATTTTATTAGATGCATTTTACAGAGATATTTCTTACACATTCTCCATAGTAGCTGCTTGCAGAGCTTCTTCCTCCAATCTTTGAAGCCTTAGCAGCTCTTCATCGATTTCTGCTCTGATCTGAGATAAATTGCCAGAGCTTTGATAGGATGCCCATATGGGAGAAAGCTTGCAATCCAGATAGCTGAGAACTCCTTCATGTATTGT